CTTTAAAGACTTAAAGTCTTTTTGATTCATACATTAAATCTCCAAAATAATTATTCAAGTTTTTTGAAGAACATTTAATGAGCTGAAATTTATTTTTAAAAAACCCAAACATCTGCAAGCAGTAAATGAGTCATAATGGCTGAATTTGTTTATATTTTGTTTCATGATAAACTGATAGAAAAATAAATGTAGTTTAGAAAACATTATTTTCCCTATCATTCATATTTATTTCAAATCATCAAAACACTACAAATTATTACAGTATATTAATACATTGAACATCATCCTACTTGCAACCAGAGATAGAAAACTTTGTTATATATTTAGAAATGATGGCACATTATAAGCATTTTGAAATCACTTCTTCAATGGGGGATTTAACTTATTGACAGAATAATAACCAAATTCTATCAAAACATCCTCACCTTGGCTTTTGCTGTGAAGGACATCAACGAAGACTCTCAGATCTTACCTAACATCACCCTTGGGTTCCACATCTATGACAGTTACTACAACCCAAGGATGACTTATCGCACCACTCTGGACCTGCTTTTCAAATCTCAGGGATTCTTTCCAAACTACAAATGTGATAATCAGAAGAATCTCATGGCCATTATTGGAGGGTTAGATGCCTCAACTTCTTCCTATATGGCAGAAAGTATAAATCTCTTCAAGATCCCACAGGTAATTTGGGGAGAGAAATAAGAGAGAAACTTGTCTTCTTTTGTAATGAACATTCATAAAATAAATATAATAAGAGAATAAGAGAGTGGGAAGGGACCATAGATGTCTTCTAGGTCAACCCAGTGCACAAACCGTAGACCCTTGGAGTTGGAAGCCATTAGAGTTCATTAACTTTCAATATTTTGTCCTTTGTTCTAATGAATAATGACTTTCTTTCTTTCTTTCTTTTTGTTCAGTTGACATATGGCTCCTTTGCCCAAGACGAGTTCCAGGCTACTAAGTTATCTTCACTTTATTGCATGGTCCCAAAAGAGGAGAATCAGTACACTGGAATTATCAAGCTACTTCTCCATTTTGGATGGATGTGGATTGGAGTCTTTACTTTTGATAAGAATAAGGGAGAACATTTCTTGCAGAAAATGCATCCCTTGTTTTCCCAAAATGGGATCTGTTTAGCCTTCACACAAAAGATTCCACAACAAGCTCCATTCGAAGATCTTTCAGAACTTTTTGATCTAATCTCAATTATTTCTAATAAGATGGTAGATCAGAAAGCCAATGTTTTTCTTGTCTATGGCGAATCATTCACGGTTCTCTGGCTCAGAAGTATTGTATTTCTACGTGATTATGAAAATAAAGAGATTGCATCATTTAGAAAGGTTTGGATACTGATGTTTCCAATTGATTTCATACTGACAGGATTTCACAGGGCTTGGGATGTCCAGTTGTTCCACGGGTCTCTTTCATTTACAGTGCATTCAAGAGAAATTCGAGGCTTCAAAGAATTTCTTCAAGACATCACACCTTCAACCCACAAAGATGGATTTCTTCAAGAGGTTTGGGAGCAATTGTTTGATTGTTCACTTTCAAATGAAGGATTACCCTCAATGTCCAATCAAACTTGTAGTGGAGAAGAGAATTTGGAGAATCTACCTACACCTCTGTTTGAATTTCAGATGACTGGCCAAAGCTACAACATCTACAATGCGGTTTATGCAGTGGCACATTCTTTACATGAGGCAGTGAGATCAAGAGCCCAACACGGAAGCATTAAAATGTTTGAATTTTCAAAACTGCAGCCTTGGCAGGTAATGTCTCTCTGCCACACCTATCTTTTATTTCAGTGAATAGCCTTTCTCATCATAATCTAATATGACTTTTTTAATCTAATATGGCCACAGGTCAATACAGATACTGAGGAAAGAAAGTTATTAATATAACACCTGGTTATGATTTATAGAATTAAAAAAAACCCATGTCTTTGCAAATTTTAATCTAGTCAATGGAATTTTTGTATCATAACAAATGGGTAAAAAAACAAAAAACCCTAACCGTCCACATCTGCAGGTTGCCAGATATTAAGTAACAGTGCAATTTATGTAGACAATTGTCATAGCTTGCATAACAAGAGATGGACAAAGGAAGCGGTGCTTTATACAATCATTTAATATTACTTTTCATTATCCTTTCCATAAATAAAAAATATCCAATTTAATTAAAACACACATGATAAAATATAATTGGTTCTCTCCTCTCCCTCTCTCCCTCCCTTCTCCCTTAAAACTCAAATTCTAAAATCTGGCTTAATGAAATTTGTCAGATCCCAGGCTCTCAAATAGCTTGAAATGAAGAAAGAAAAGATAAGATTTTAAGTGGCATAGGTTTGACTCAGAAGCTTCAACACTGGAAGTTTTTAAGAAGAAATTGAATAACCATTTGTCTGAAGTGGTATACGGTTTCCTTCCTAGAGGGTTGGACTAGAAGACCTCCAAGGTCCCTTCCAACTCTGTTATTCTATTCTATTCTATTCTATTCTATTCTATTCTATTCTATTCTA